CGTATCAGTAATCGGGATTACCACCTGACCCTGTGTCTCTATGTATCAGTACTTGGGATTACCACCTGACCCTGTGTCTCTACATATCAGTACTCGGGATTACCACCTGACCCTGTGTCTCTACGTATCAGTAATCGGGATTACCGCTTGACCCTGTGTCTTTATGTATCAGTACTAGGGATTACCACCAGACCCTTGTCTTTATCTATCAGTACTTGGGATTACCACCTGACTCTGTATCTTCATCTATCAGTACTCAGGATTACCACGTGACCCTCATCTTTATCTATCAGTACTCAGGGTAACCACCTGACCCTGTGTCTTTACGTATCAGTACTCGGGATTACCACCTGACCCTGTGTTTTTACGTATCAGTACTTGGGGTTACCACCTGACCCTCATCCTTATCTGTCAGTACTTGGGATTACCAACTGACCCTCATCTTTATCTATCAGTACTCAGGATTACCAGTTTATCCTCATCTTTATCTATCAGTACTTCAGTGTGTCATGGATGAGAGTCAGAAAGCAACAAAGCCCTTTGGGAATAGGGTCCTCTACGGCTGCAGCGGGACCAGAACTAGATCATCCAGAGAACACAAAGAAAGTTCACTAAACTGGTTCCAGAGCATGTTCAGAAGGTTCCGCCATGACACACAGGCTTTTGTCTCAGGCCCTCTTAGCGCTGAGGAAATAACCTCATCATCACTCAAGAAGAAGAGCTCTGTGCACTGGGTCAAGTCCTGCATGCAGTGTGCACCGGCAGCGGGCAGAGTGGCCCAGACCTGGGCTACAGACCGGTGACGCTCAGTGCAGAGGGTGCAGCGGAGGCGTAACTAGACCAGGCGGTTGGAAGCGACCGAAAGTACAAAATCGCTCCTCTGCTTCCAAGCAACGCTCCTCAGTCCCTCCTGACATACCCAGGGCTAGACTTGAAAGCTGCTTTTAAACACTTTTATCCTGTCTTCCCTGTCTATAAGCGGACCTGTCAGAACGTCACATGCCCACAAACAATGGAATCTGCTCACACCCAGACACACAGTCACTGGGCATTCCTACAGCCTGTGGGCACCAGGTGGACAACCAAACAAACACACCAAGGTTAACTGTATCAGTCCACAGAGTGCTTCCCAACCAGGAGGAAGAGGAATTGCGTGGTGGTGGGGAGACGAGGGCACAGGGCACAGGGAGCAATTACAGCAGCAGAGACGCAGATCTGCCAGCAAGTGTAACCTACTGATAAAGGAAAGGACAAGTGAAATGAGGAGCTCAGATAGCTTTCACCTTTCAGTGCTGCTGGCAGTGCAGGGAAGCGATCAGACTGGAGAAAGAGGAGGAGGAAACCCAGATGGCCAGTCAGAGGAGATGACCCCCAGGTCCTTCCAGAACTGCTGTTCCGGAAGGAGTGGGCAATGCAAAGCAAGACAAGAATCAGTCTCAGTGTGCAGGATAAGGACATTCCTCAAAATTTTCCAGCAAACCAAAATTGTGTATTAGTTAGCTTTCCCTTCTCAAAAAATACCTATTCCTGTGGCTCCACTTTCCTTTACAGGACGGATGCTTGTTATCCCCCTGCGAGCACTCTAGGAACACAGCGAACCTCACGGTCCATGTTTAGGATGTCTCTTACTCTCCCTGCTTCGGCCACACTCCTGGGCTCGCATCACGGGCTCCTGAACTCCGAGAAGGGCAAAAAGCAAAGGCCCAGTCCCAGCAGGGAGGGCATGCGATAAATCGCAGTGACAGGGAAAGACAGCAAGACATGACAAGGGGAAGCTGTCCCCCTAGAGGAGACACTGGCCCCTGACCCTGGCCAGGGCTGTGGTACCTCTGAGGCACCCGCCAGGCCAGGACACAGAAGGTGCCCTTGTCCCCTGAGCCACCTGCAGAGTCCTCCCAGGAGGAGGTGTGTCTGCAGGGCTGAGGGATCCCCAGGGTGGCCGCGGACAGGTGTGGCCCCTCAGGCAGCTCTAGGGTGGGAGAGGGCACAATACAAGGCTCTTACAGAGTCAAAGGAAAACAAGCCCAGCTCCCAGAATCCAGACTTCCTCATCCATAAAATGATCTAGAAGATTCCTTACTGATCTAAATGAACTAAATGAATGCCACAGTGCCTCCCTGAGGTGTCACACCAAGTCCACTTTACAAGAGTGGGCAGATGGTGATGTGGTCACAAGAGTGGACCTTGCCCGGCCTTCATCTGCCACCTTCAGCAGGGGGCTGATTTACTGGGTCGCTCCTCACAGGGGGCAGTGGGCATGACTGCAGTTCACATCCTCACACCTCCACACAGGCCTGGCCTGCAGCAAGTGCAGAAGCACCAAGCCACAGATGCACGACCGTGTATAGTGCAAAGGGCATCTTCTCCTTTGCTCTTTATAAGGAGAGAATTCGAAAAGGAAGACGCTGATTCTGATCCTCATCCTTCTAGTTACAGACTCATCTCTCAGCAGATTTCTCCACTTTAAGTGAAAGTTCTAGAATCAGTAAAACACATCCAATAAATGAATACCAAATGTCTCTAATTTTTACCTTTTTAAAAAAAATTAATTCACGTTGATTATCATTCATCACTTGACAGGGTTTACAGAGACCTGACTAAGCGCCAGCACTGATCCGGCCAATGGGGATGAAGAGGTGAATTAAAGAGATGAAGTCCCTCGAACACCGGGGCAGAGAGATCTGGGAACAGGCGAGTAAGTGAAGACGCGGCAGGGAAGGGAGGAACGAAGAACAGCAAATGCACCGGCGGGGGCCGCAGATGTGGGGAGGACCTGACCAGGTGGGGCCAGGGCCGAGGGGCTGCAGCAGGCCCCGAGAGGCTCGGGAGCACGCACCGCTGGACACGATGAGTGAACGACAAACCTGCCCCGTATTTCCAGCCTGGCTTCTCCTGGGAGTCACACCTCTGAGGAAGGCACGGCCTCACGAAGGGGACAGAGGATTCCCTTCAGGATCAGGTGCTCCGTCTGTTAACTCTGGCCTTTGGAGCCATTTTTAAACAAAGTGAATGACTTTCCTCAAGCGATGGCACCTTGTTCCCAACCAGGCTGTGCTCGTAAATAACAGTGAAAAAAATGCAGTCATGTTAGTTCCAAAGCACTCCGAGGACAAAGACTTGCCTTCTAGTGGACTTTTTTCCCTTTAATTTATGTTAAAAGACAGTATACATTAGATTCTTAGACGTAGTTAACCTAAATAAAACTTAACTGATTAAACATGGTGTGTTCATGCTGAATGAGATGAAAACCATCACAAATTCTAAGAATTCACTGTTCTATCAAATTAGTCGCATTAATTGGTATCAAGAAGTAAAAGAAAACTGCAGATTTAAAATTAAAAGTATTGTAAATGTTTACAAGTGTAACAAAAGTCAATTAAATATTCAATAAGAAATTCATAAAAAAAAAACCTAAAAAACAGAACAACAGATGCCTTACTCTGCATTCTCGAATGCTTAAAAACTGGAGATGTTAATGCCATTTGCATTTCCCCACAAATGCCCTTTAAGCATAAACAAGAACATCCTTCATAGGTGAGGGCGCCTGCCGCGGCCCTGCTTACATAAGAGGCCCCAAGTGGCGTCCACCACAGTGGCCGGCCAGGCCTGCCTCCGCACAAGACCACACTCGGAGGCTGCGAAGCCTACAGGAGTGTGCCAAATGCCCACACTGTACACAGTTTATTATTAATAATAAAACCTGACCACCCAAATCCACAAACTGAAAACCGCTGGGGTGGCTGCTCGTGACGAGCCTGGAGGGAAGCAGAGAAATGCCAGCGCTCCAGTGAAGGGGGGCGACGCTTCATAGGTCCTGCAGAAATTGTTTTTGACTTGTAAACAGATCTCACATGTTTTCTGGACTTAAATCTTTTCATATTTTGTAAGCCTTCAGATGTTACTTTCAGTGGAAGATTCTCGTAAACTAGGAGGACTAATTTAGACTAAGAGCTTTTCAGCAATCTGAAAAACTGGTGTTTGTTGGTTAGCTGGGGCATACATCAACCAGCCAATTGTGACAATTTAGACTTCCATCCTTTGATAAACGCTAATTCTCCCTCCTCCAAAGAAAAGTACATAAGTAGGATGCACGTTGAGGAACAAGTAAAGCACAGGAGAATGGGAATGGAGCACAACCCGAGTCGGAGGCCACGTGTGAGTGTAGCCTCAGCACGCACACCCGCGGCTCTGGCCGACGCACGCATCCTGCCCTGCAGCAGAGCCCCTCTCACAGGGCACCTCTGAGGCCCGGCTGCTGTGGTCCACGGGGTGGCTGTCTAAAGTGGAAGGCAGCACCCAACGCTAGGCCCCACGTGGCAGGCCATGGAGCCTCTATGATACTCAGATTCCTAACTCACTTGACTCACAGTTCTTAGCCCCGGCTGCACGTCAGAATCACCCAGGGGGTTCCAGAGATGAAAACACTGATGCTGCACTCCACTCCACCCCAATGCATTGGGACATCTGGGGGGTTTTCCTGGTTCCACGCAAGCACCACTCATGTGGTCAGCGCCCTGGCAGCACCCTCAGCCAGGAGGGTCCCTCGACACGAAGGAGTCAGCACACACGAAACAAGCAGTGGTGTGGAAGAGGAGTGTCAGCGGAACCAGCAGGCCGGGTAGTGAGAGCGATGAGTGATGACACGTCTGCCACGTCAGCACACTGCAGAGGGCCCCAGTCTGTATTCAGAGACCAGGGGTGCATGTAGCCAACCGAAATCTGCAACTGAGCTTCTCCTGAAGGCCTCCCGTCCTCCCTTCAAACCTCCACTGTGGGCAATCACGGAGCCCGTAAATCATCATCCACCTAATTGGCGTGGTATAACGAGGTATACCATACAGATTTAGTAACTGCTTGCAAATATTGGTAAAAAAGTTAGATTTCATGTGGAGTAAAAACTCTCCTGATGTGCCTTCAACATTGAGACTCTATGGACAGTTAAAGCAAAAATACATTTAAAGTATGTTATTTCAAGAATAAAATGCTGCAATAACTAATGATTGTAAAAGCTGTTAATTTTATATATAAAAACAATTACTAAGAACTTACAAATAGTTAAATAGAGAAAAACTAAAAATGAGAATATACTAGCTACTTACTTTTAGGAAAAAATAATATTCTTTTTGAAAAAGAAAATATGTATAAAAATGTACAAAATAATATAGGCATAATAAAACAGATTAGATTATATTTGAATTCTGATTTAGAAAAGACTGATAAATTAGGCTACATTACAACCGAGAACTCCTGTTGTTTAAAAGGCATCATTAGGAGAGTGAAACAGCAGAGACCAGAGTGGAAGGAGATATTTGTGACACATAAAGCCGACAAAGGGCTTGATTCTAGAATATAAAAAGAACAACCCCAAACCAAGAAAGAGAGAACTCAACAGAAAAATACGCAAGAGACGTGAAGAAGTACTTCATAAGAAGGGAACATCCATTTGGCCAACAAGCACATGAAAATGTGCTGAGTCTCACTGGTAATCACAGAAATGCAGCTGAAGCCACGAGGAGGTACTGCCCAGCTGAAGTCAAGGTGACGGACAGTAACAGTGTTGGTGGTAACAGGGAACAGGACTCGCACACGTGGCTGGCGGAGGCAGAAATGGGTACAACTACTTTGGAAACCCTTTGGCCTCACGTGTGGCAGTCGACCACACGGAGGCCCTGAGATTCCCAACGCCGCTTCACATCTGCCCGTCTGCACCAAGAAACATGAGCAAGAACGTATGGAGCAGCGTTATCTGTAACAGCTCTGATCAGTAAACAGCCCGAGTATCCACCAACTACAGAACGAACGAATATGGTGGTGCGTTGTGAGTGGGACAACACGTAGCTATGAAGATGAATGAACTCCTGCTACACACAACAGTGAGGACAGATGTCAGAGCATAATGTTGAGTGGAAGAAGCAAAACACAAAAACCTACATATTAATGATTCCATTTATACAAATTTCAAAAGCAGGCAAAACCAGTCTTTGGTGTTGGCGTCAGGGGAGGGGTTACCTTTACGGGGGGCACGTGGGGCTCCCAGTGCTTTACTGGGTGGTGGTCAGCCGGGGACGTGCACCTGTGGATAACTCCCTGACAGTCCTCACACACTGCAGACTGGGTACTTTTCTGCATGTGTATCATACACCAATAAAAATATTCCCAAAGCAACTTCAGAGAGCAGACTTGACAAGAATGCTTTGAAAATACATCATCTTACGCTGTTGTGCGTATGTAAATTAAAATTTAAACAAAAGCTTGTTAAAATGACTTGTATAGATGACTTGCCATTTTCAGTGGTTGAAGATAAAGGATTTTTGAGGTCTATGGGTATTAGCGAGGTGAGCTTTAGAGAAGTACATCGTCCTACCATCATTACCCCAAATCCCGATATAGGAGAGAATGGTCCATCTCGACTTACTTTCGGTGTTACCAGAGATAAAACAAGTTCAACTGAGCACTGGGGCCCTGGGCAGAAACTAACCAAGCCCAGGACGTGAGCATGCACGTGCCCTGCGTATCGGGTCCTGGGTTGTCTTGGAAAACAGCAAGGTGTCAAAAGAAGGAAGCACAGGGGCCGGCCTGGTGGCGCAAGCAGTTAAGTGCACGCGCTCTGCTACGGCAGCCCAGGGTTTGCCGGTTTGGATCCCGGGCGCGCACCGACGCACCACTTGTCAAGCCACGCTGTGGCGGCGTCCCATATAAAGTAGAGGAAGATGGGCATGGATGTTAGCCCAGGGCCAGTCTTCCTCAGCAAAAAAAAAGAGGAGGATTGGCAGATGTTAGTTCAGGGCCGATCTTCCTCACAAAAAAACAAAAAAAACAAGGAAGCACAAACACACAGAAGGAAAGTGTTCCCTTCATGACAACCTGGGAGGGACGTGGTGCCCAGTGGAGGACATGCCAGACTATACAAAGACAGGTCATGTTGGCACTGTCCTCACTGCGTGAGCCCAGGGCACTGTGTTCAGTGCCTGGGTGGTCAGAGGGGCTGTGGCCTCTTCCCTGATAGACACAGGGATTCCCCCTAATTTCCCAAAGTGGGAAGGAACAGCACACAGAATAGTCTCCTCTCCTCGCTAAGGTGAAATCCAGGCATTTCTCGGAAGATAGCAGACCACACTGGTCTTCAGACGGACACACGCTGCCACCACAGACATCAAAAATTAGGGTCAAAAGAGCCAATGTGAGAACCAAGCTGTGGGTCACTGTGTAGCCTGTGCCCCCTCAGCTGTGGGCTGTCCTACAAACTAATACTTGGTTTTCAGGCACTCACAAGACGCTCTCAAAAGAAAAGAACTTTGAAAAACTTAGGAGTGAACTCCCAGGTAAAACTCACTGTGCAGCTGGTATGCTTTATGGTTAATATTTTTTAAGTCCATTAGGAGTCTGCCAAATATTCTTTAAAATGCTTAAATCAAACCCAAAGTCGTGCTGAATGCCCTGGCAGCCCCCACAGGAAGATGAAGCCCTGGACTCCCGCTTGTCTCTGAAGCTGAGGGTGACCTGAAACAGCCACGTGCAGCGACTCCACCTGCTACAACCGGGGGGCGGCTCCCAGCCCTCCCGCCGCTGCCCGCGGGCCAGGGGGCAGGGAAGCCGGGAGGGGTGCCGCCCTGGCGGTGGGCCTGGCACTTACTCTCTTTGCCTTTCTCCTTGTTCTTGAGCTGCTGCAGCTTCTGCTCGCGGTGCTGCTTCTCCAGCTCCTGCTCCTGGCGGTGTCTCTCCAGCTTCCGCTGATGCTCCAGCAACTCCTGCTGGTGCTTCATAGCCAGCAGCTCCTGCTGTTGCTGTGCAGGGAAGGAGGAGACAAAGACGGTCAGAGCCCCGCTCCGAAAGAGAAAGAACAAGACAGACATACCCAGGAAAATTTGTGAAGGACCAGCTCGTCTCTGCGCTGGTGTTGCCACTGGGGCCTTGTTCTCATCTGCACAGCCAGCATTTCCAACGAGGCTACCTCGGCTCTGTTCAGTCCCACACGAAGGAGGGCTGCTCCAGGCCCTAGATGTCTCCTGACCTTTTAAATGTTAAAAACGAAAATAAAAACCGTGGAACTGCTAGAAGAAAATACACACAACGATTTATGTAATCTTGCAAATTGGGAATGTCTTTTTGAGAATGAGACAAAAGAGTGTGAACTGGTACGACCACTTTGGAAAACTGCTTGGCACTTTCTTACAAAGTTAAATGCAATCCCACTCCTAGGACTTACCCAAGAGACATGGAGACACATCCACACAAAGCCCTGTACGAGGCAGCTTTACTCACAACAGCCCAGGCTGACATACCCCAAATGTCCCTCAGAGGTGAGCACACGGATGAACGGCATGTATTCAGATGCTAGAACACTATCTCATGATGAAACAGAATCAACTACAGACACACGAAGAAACACCATGGGCTGTAAACCAAGAAAAATAAGCATGCCCGGGGCTGACAGAGGGGTGTGAGAAAATTACAGGAAAGAGCCAACACTCAAAGATTCTATGCATATGAAGTTCTAGAACAGGAAATCCTAAGATCTGATGATGATAAACCAGAAGGCCGCCTCCTGGGGTGAGGCAGGAAGAGGAAGGCAGAGGGAACATTCTAGGGTGTGGACCGTCTGGTGGAGGTGGCGTTTCCACAGGTGCTCACACTGTCAAAATGCATTGAACGGCACACTCAAGATCTGTACGCTTTGTTACGTATAAATTAGATCACATATTTTCAAAAATGACATCACTGACTACATAAAAAATTATCTTTATCACAGATACTATAAACAAAACTAAAATGCAAAAGATGGAGAAAAATTCTGCAATATATATACCAATAATCGTCACATAAATGGCTATTGTAAATTAATAAGAATATGATAGGCAGCCCACTGAAAAGGTAAGCAAGCAAGAATGAGAGATTCACAGAAGAAATGGTTAAAAATAAAAGGGAAAAGATGTTCAACCTCACTAGTAATCTAACCCCACATTCACTTATCACATTGGAAAAGGTGAAGAGGCACAAGCCCGGTGCTGGTCCAGCGCTGACCTGAGTGTGTGGGAGAGGGTCCATCAAGCAGACACCAGAGAAGTCTTCCTCAGACAGCCATCGGTCCCGCCTCCAGTGAAGCTCCTCGGGACACACCAGGCTCTGCGCCCGGGGCTGCCTTCTCGGCGAGGTCGCTCCCCTCTCTGACTGTCTCTCTCTCTCTTTGTCTCTATCTCTATCTCTCCGTCACTCTCACTCTGTGTCTGTCACCCGCTCTGTCTGTCTCTCTGTGTTTCTTTCTCTCTATCTCTTTCTCTGTCTCTCTCATTCTCTCTCTGTCTCTGTCTCTCTGTGTTTCTGTCTTTCTCTCCCTATCTCTTTCTCTGTCTCTCTCTCTCTGTCTCTGTCTCTCTGTGTTTCTGTCTTTCTCTCCCTCTCTATCTCTTTCTCTGTCTCTCTCTCTGTCTCTGTCTCTCTGTGTTTCTGTCTTTCTCTCCCTCTCTATCTCTTTCTCTGTCTCTCTCTCTGTCTCTGTCTCTCTGTGTTTCTGTCTTTCTCTCCCTCTCTATCTCTTTCTTTGTCTCTCTCTCTCTCTCTGTGTTTCTGTCTCTCTCTATTTCTGTCTGCCTGGCTGCCTCTCTCTCTCTGGGGCTCCAGCTACACAGACTTTCCTTCGGCTCTCACACTAAGCCACTTGAAGTCCTCAGGGCCTCTGTGTGAGTGACCCCACAGGCCAGCACTTGGAGACGGTCAACCTGGCTCCTCCTCCCCAGCCATCTTTCCCAAGCAGGGCCCTGGGCCCTCTGTCCAGCACTTCCCACGTAGGCACCTACTCTCCTTGTTACTTGTTTCTCTTGGTCTCTCCCACTAGGCGCAGGGTAGAAGGAGGACTCTGGGTGAGCTGGTAATCTGGCAACCCAAAGTCCCCGGAACTTTCTACCGAGGAGCTTTAACATACAAGCATCTTTCCCTCAGATGTAAGTGATCAAATATGTAAGATGGGGGGCAGGGTCGGGGGAGGGACGAAGCATCCTTTCAGCCATTCACAGAGGGACGATGGCACCAACAAGAGTGATGACGACGCGGTTGTTGAAAACCGACATTTATCGAGGGCTCTTCTCCGTGCCTGACATTTGTAACTGACAAATGGCCATAACCATCCTCTGAGGTGAGTGTGTCACGGAAGAGGAAGCTGAGCGACAGGGTGGCCAGTGGGTCAGGGCTTCCATCCAGATGGCGGTTCTGCCCCGAGCACGCAGCTCTGGTGATGAAGAGGACAGAGCAGGGGGACAGTGGGTGGGTGTGCCCAACGTGGGCGCCGGCATGGGCGTGGCCCTGGCGGGTCAGGACCACACACCTGGGGCATGCCTAGGGGCCTCACACAGGCTCTTTTCTGTCTCTAGTCGTTGTACGATGCCACATTTTACTCTCAGAACAACAGGTTTAACAAATGACAAGCAAGTGGCTTAGGCGTAAAGGAGCAGATTTAGAGGAGTAGGGATACAGCCAGGGGACAACCAGGACAGAGTGAGGCGCACACAGGCCTTGGCCCCGCACGGCTGCCCGAGGTCCCCGCCATGTGGTGGGGGTCTGAGGGGAGGGGAGGAGGGAGCAGCCCAGCTTTCCTAACTTGCCCACTGTGCCCAAGAAAAGTTGTCGACCCGGAGACATGTGTGTATGTGCATGTGAGTGTGTGCGTGTGAGTGTGTGACGGAGCCACCCTCCTCCGTGGGCACCAGCCCTCAAGGTACATCTGGCCGGCCCTGGGGAGCAGGTGCTGTGTGTCCAGGAACATCTCCAAACTCCTGCTGGTCCCTTCTTCAGAGGCAGAGCCTGGGCGACCAGCTGGCTTGGTGCCCTGCACACACTGCACCCGCCTGTGCCAGCCCCGGGCAGTCACCACTGGGAGCCACCTCACTGCCAGGGGAGGAAGGGTCCAGGCCACAGAGAAGGTGAGGCCGGGCCCCTTCCTGGCCAGAGGCCCCCAGGGAGATGGGGAGGCTCCCACCACCTGGGCCTCACCTGGCTGCCTGGGCCCCAATTCCCAGGGTGGACTTTTGTCAGTGTGGTAGTGTGGAAATGATCCAGTGTCTTTCGTCAACTAGAGCAACACGTAAATTAAGAAAACAGGATTTCAGATTGCTTAGAGTTCCTTCCTGTTAAAGATGCAATATGTCGCCATGTCTGTGACTTCTGTGAGGTTCAAATCACATTCTACCAAAAATGTTACAGAAAAAGAATATCATTTGTGAAAATGTATAAGGTGGAAATTCTCACTCTTTCATTCTCTAAATAAAGCTGATAACCCCGGTGTGGGCGCATATGTGCTAGCCAGTAAAAATTACCTTCAGCCAAACTTCAGAAGAAGCTGGCGATAACAATGAATGAGCAAAAGGGACAGAACCACCAACTTATAAACGCCAGTGTGTGTGGGACGCCCGGCCACTGGCCCAACCTTAGGGTAGGGTACCTGGCAGACCAGCCCTGCCACACCGTCACACAGAGTGCTGCCGGAAACTCAGTGCCTGGCCTCAAGACAGAGATCATACTGCGGCCCCTCGCTGGCCCACCTGGGCTCTGCCTCCGCAGCCAGCACGGCCAGCCTCCCGGCCTCCTGGCCCTGCTGCTGTGGAAGTGGCCCGATGGCAGAGTCCCTGCAGGACTCAGGGCTGGTGCAAGACTCATCAGCAGGGCCTGGAGCTCTAGCTGGGCGGGTCTGGTCACACCTGTGGTCACATACACAGCAAGGGTTTATGGAGTGCAGAGTAAGTGGTCAGCATTACTGACCACAGAGGACCTGCAGCCCCTGTCTACAACCTCGGCCACCTCTCGCCTTCCACAGAGGGGAAGGGACTCATTTCCAGCCAGGATCACAGGGACAGAACAGCAGAGAAGTGGGTGTAGCTAGACCCAAAATCAGCACAGGCGGGAGGAGGGACAGAGGCCACAGGGCCCTGATGGTGCCCAGGACAGGGGCCTGCACAGAGGAGCGAGCATCCAGACCCCAGGCAGCAGCGCACACTTCCCATGGGAGATGTTGCTCCTGGAAGGCAGGTGCCTGGGGCTCAGAGATCACGTCAGGCAGCAGTGTGTGCAGGGGAGGGGCCAGGAGAGGGGCCATCAGGGATCAGTGCCCAGCGGTGGGGTTCATGGACACCATGTGTCACCTCTAAGAGCTTGCTCATGGAAAAAATTACATTCCAAACAAGCCACTTACATGAACTGGGGGATAGTGGACTGAACAGGCAGGTACCGCCCACGCTCTTTTCATCACCACTCCCTGGTTTGCCACTTGGGCGGCACAGACTTCCAGAGGACTTTCTGGGTGGCACCACCAGGCATGGTCAGAGGAGAAGGCTGAGGCCAGACTGCCCAGATGGGAACCCAGCTCTGCCCACTCCACCCCTCAAGTACGTACCTCCTCCCTGCCTCTGTTTAGTCCCAGAACCCGTCTGCTTGGGCTGCTGTGAGGACAAATTGAGACGATATCTGGAAAACACTTAAAACAGGTCTGGTACTGAGCTCACATCTGTATTCTGTCATCGTCATCACTGTTAGAGGTTTACTTCTGAAAGATGGCGCCTAGAGAGCTGGACTTGTGGACGCTGCCACGTCATCCTGAGACCAAAATGAGGCCGCCCAGGGACTCCAGGGAAACACAGCACAGTGGAACAGAATGTAGGAATGAAGTTTTTATCTCAAAACTGGCTTCCTAATTTTGCGGTGTTTGTTGCCAACAGTCAATACACTTTGGTTTAACCATGAGGGCCTTCAGTTCCTCCAAACCGGCATCACTGTGCGCATCTGTTAAGATCAGCTCAAG